TGAAACTTACGTTTACGTAACATTTTTGCTGTTATTAATTTAAAAAATCAGGATTAAACGATGAAACAGATCATAAAATAGACCAAAATATTACAAGATTTTATGTTTAATAAGACAATAATTCTTTATTCATTCAATAAAGGTTCCTATCATACGTTTCAATTGCGATAATACAATCAACTTGTCATGATTCGAGAAATTTTGGATTATTTTTTAATATTTACAATTTCTTAATCATTTTTTGTGGGTCTTATAAATAATAAAATATTTGCAAATATAGAGAATGTTACCATAGTTGGACCTTCCTTTTCGTGTGCAGCTGTTACAAAGTTAAAAAGAAAGTTAAAAGTTAAAAAACTGTTAAAAAGTTTATTAAGCGGTATCCATGACCTGCACTTATTGGTATCAAGCCTTGTGTCCACGATGCTAGAACTCGGTCCGAGATCTCGGTCCGAGAAACGTGTAGCCAATAAAATTGCCGTTTTTCCGTAAAAGCTGCAAATTGATTGGCTACACATTTCTCGGTCCGAGAATTCGGATTGAGTTCTAGATTCTAGCATCGTGGACACAAGGCTTGATACCAATAAGTGCAGGTCATGGATACCGCTTAATAAACTTTTTAACAGTTTTTTAACTTTTAACTTTCTTCTTAACTTTGTAACAGCTGCACACGAAAAGGAAGGTCCAACTATGGTAACATTCTCTATATTTGCAAATATTTTATTTATAAGACCCACAAAAAATGATTAAGAAATTGTAAATATTAAAAAATAATCCAAAATTTCTCGAATCATGACAAGTTGATTGTATTATCGCAATTGAAACATATGATAGGAATTTTTATTGAATGAATAAAGAATTATTGTCTTATTAAACATAAAATCTTGTAATATTTTGGTCTATTTTATGATCTGTTTCATCGTTTAATCCTGATTTTTTAAATTAATAACAGCAAAAATGTTACGTAAACATAAGTTTCAGTTTACAGTCTTACATAGACCGTGGTTTTAGTCAAACTCATTTGAATTTCCTACGCTCGGAGGCAAATTGCCGGGTAAGATGGCAGCGTCCATTTAAGGACGCTTTTGAGTCCTAAGAACAAAGGCGAACGGCAATCCAGATATATAGATCAGTGGTTTAATCGCTCTCAGAGCGATTAATGACGTCCTTGCATCGTTTCTGCCAATAAAAGGCTTGAATTCACAGTAAAATATAGTAATTAATTGAACCGGATTGGGTTAACCCGTTCATTCGAAAACTCTATGAGTTAACCTAAAAATGGCGGAACCAATCAGAGTAGAGAACAGTATCCGCTCCACTCTCCCTTGATTCTGTCTAAGTTGTGGTCAAATGGAACGCTCCCTATTGAGATTCTGCTAGTGATTTTGAACAAAAATAACGGTTGCGTTCAGCAGAGAAAACCGCTTAGTAGCAATCGAATGTGATTGGTTCTTACTTTTAAAACCAACGAATCAACGTCGAGTGTTGACAAGACGATAACTAAGCGCTTTCTCCGCTAAACGCGGCCAACGGCTACAGATTTCCAATATTGGCAGTGGATTTCAGAACACAGGCATATTGTGGTTTGCTGTGATCATATGATTGTATTGCGTTTAATTGTGACGAAGTGATATGAAAATCTAATGAAAGAAAAATTATGTTTAATTTAATGCGAAGACGCGTGTTGTCTTATTTGTTATACGAATGAAAATTAAGAAACTCGATATGAAAAGTAAGAGACACGAGCTGTGAACGGAATAATTAGAGAGAGATCAAAGAGTGATCACACGCACATGTTTATATAGAGTTTAATTAGTTATGTGTATGTGCGGATAAAAGTACATTATAAAACTTCTCTTATCCGGAGAAAATAAAGCATTGCTAGTTACAATGCTATGCCACAAGAAATTTATATAATGTCAAGTAAGTAATCCAAATTATATATAATTCTTTCGTTAGTTTGCCGCAAACAGGGTATCGAATAATCGAATTTTGCTTTTTAAGGTACTTGATAAATGAGAGAGAGAGAGAGAATTTCTAATGAAATCAAAAGTGTTATGTTTTACACCTTGATTTATACATCCAATATTAAAATGTCGAATATAGTAATGCAACAATTTGTCCAACGACTAAAGTCAAGAAATGAGGAGGCACGTAACAAAGCTGCGCGCGACTTGTGCCTATACGTCAAGAGAGAACTACGAGAAGCATCGCAGGAGGAGATTACAGCTTTTATGGATGAATTTAATCATCACATATTTGAAATGGTATCTGCCTCCGATATAAATGAGAAGAAGGGTGGTATATTAGCCATAGTTTGCCTTATAGGAGCAGACGTAGGTAATTTTAATACACGAACGGTACGATTTGCCAATTATCTTAGAAACTTGATACCTTCCAATGATGTGGGCGTTATGCAATTAGCCGCGAAAA